AAGTAAAATTTCAGAGCCAATAAGCACATTGTTGAGTCATCTGGTTTGAGTCAAGTTGGGGTTGGTGTACAACATTAACAATTGTCTTCTTTTCTTTTTCCTGATTTAAAGTTTTTAAAACTCTGATCTGCCAGTGAGTGAGATCTTCTGTCCAAGTGCTGTAGTTCATCGATCCTATTTATGCTCATAACAATGCATTGGCTGGTGACTCTTGCATACACTTTTGCTCCAAGTCCCTTTCTTTCATGTTCATTCTATCACAACTGCAGAAAATAAAGGAGTTCAAGTTACTGGATAGAAAATTCATACTTGAACTAAACTGCATGTATGTCAACATGTTTTCCATTACACTAGTGAATGGACACATATAATCATAGAGATGTTTCTTTCACATGGGTCTTTTCAGGCACGTAAACATAGAGGTACTTCCCAGTATTTTAGGTCCCACAGAGTTAAAGATCATATTCAATTATAACAACGAAGAAGTGAAGGGAGAATACTTTACAGCATACATAAATATTGGTGCCAAGTGAACCTTTTTTAAAGGGAAAACGAACAAGAGAGGACAAGAAAATGCTTGTAGCAGATTAGGAAATTAATCTTGTGCCATCCTTGACAGAGTGTCTCCCACTCTTCCATGGCTCCTGCTACCTGCCCTATTTCTTTTACCAAGGCTGGAAAAACAGGAAACGTGATGGACAAGCAGTGAAGAATCTGATCAAAACCTCACAATCTCAAGAAATACAGAATAAGTTAAAACATGTGGAGACTGTCAGAGTGTCAGTGCACTAACAGGCCAGTTCACATATGACTATATATGTCATTCCTGTGCAGGAATGAGTTATTGGTAAACATGATAGATTTGCACATATGGATACCACATTGGCCCCAGAGGTTCAGGATGAGAGAGCCTACTTTGAAACAATAAGACTGCCTCCTAATGCGTGTTGTCTATTGAGGCAGGAGGTATATTCACATGAATTAAGTAAACAAATACAAGTGTTTCTTACCAAAGTAAAGCTTTCTGGCTTATTAGTCAACCAAAGAACTTACTCTTCAACCAATAACCTGCATGGTAACAAAATCTGTATTTTATGTTTAGATTAAATTAACTCCATTAATGTACTCAGTTTGAATTAAAAAATATACCCAACACTCTGCATTTTCAGACTACAGTGGTAATTTAAGATGTTTGAGGGTTTGTTGCTTTTTCTTGTGAGACGTGTGTGTGTGTGTGGGGAGGCTAAAGTAAGTCAACACCTTTTCCCCAGTACAATATTGCAAAACACCAAATCACCTGTTAAATGTCATGCTCTGCTGTTTAGCTTTTGAACATCTGTCGTTGCAACAACCAAGTGCAGGATTTTTCTCATTTTTGTTTGCTGAAAGAAAATGTTAGCAGGGGCTGTGCATTTCAAAATAAAGAACAGATTAACATTGCCAGGTATCTGTGTGGCATTAAAAAGTATTCAAGATTAGATGATAAAACACACTATTAGCAAATACCAGATACAAAATCAATCTTGTGAAGATTAAAAAAAATGTGGAAAGGGAAGAAGGGAAGTAGTGCAGCATAAAAAGCACAATCTGCTCTCCAATTATGGGATTTCTCCAGTAATTGGGCTATTAAACTCATCATCACCCTCTATGTAACCCACAACACACTTGCATTTTTAAAAAAAACACACAATTGTTACCATAATGATTTTGATAGTTTCATCTTGTTTCACTTCGTAAAAAAGTCACTTTAAATAGCAAAACAAGAACATTCACATTTAGGAATTTTGTTGCAAAATTCTTCTTTACAAAGTCATGCTTTGCTGGTTTGGAATTAGCATAAATACAGCAGCTACAGGCATGTGGTCCCCACATCAAACAGTGTTTTGACAGTACTGCTTATCTCTTGCGAAAGACAAAATATTTCTGATGGCTATGCACGAACATACAGTTTAACAGGAATGTAATGCAACAGTTATGAATTATGATCTTTTGACTATCACTTTGTGTTTAGGAATTGTGCAACTGTCATTCTGTGCAATGTCCCTGTCACCACTATAGTTTTCCTGCCGTGTTTTCCCTCCTGGGGCACAGAAAAACACATCTGCAGCGGAGCTGGGCAATGACGTGAGCGTCCAGTGAGAGCAGTGATAACCTAAGAGGGTCTCCTTCCTGTACAGCTGTGTTTGACCGGCACAAAAACACTTCTCAGTGATTACTCACCAAAGACACGTGCGCACACTCACAAATCTAAAGAGGTAATTGTGACACCGATAGTCTTCTTTTCCTTGATATGAAGTGTATTTACAGTACCTGGACATTCCTTTTTCTAAGGAAGGAACTAGCAGTGTTATCATGACAGTGAGAAAAACATCCTCTGGGTTATTACTGTTTTACTGCCCCTCCTCTACCAGCACTACCACAGCCACCCCACTGGCTTTTAATATCCAACAGTTGAGTGACCTCATGAGAAATTTGTGAATGGACAGACCGGCCGGCACTCTTATCTGGCTTTGCAGATTTCAACCCCCTTGTAGGAAGACACACAATAACAGTGTGGCAGCACATCCTGCTCTGCTCAATACATAATGGATAATTGTGCAATCAATTGTTGTGAATATACAGCACAGTTGTGAAGGAATCATTCAGTTTATAACCTGATACCAGCTGCAGATAGCAGTATTGCACTAACAATGTTGGGCTGGAGCTGGGCCATTTTATTCATGCTCCCTTTTGAAAACAAAGCGATGTGACTAAAAAGTACCATGGGAAATCTGAGGCTTGGTGTCATTAAATAAACGTACATTCAAATATCGTCCTGCCTGTTTCTTCAGCATGCATTATTCATGTGATGTGTCTCTGAAATGTTGTTATCCCAAGCCATCTGACGTGATAAAACAACTTTATTACATCCATGTTTTCTCGCAGACAAAAGAACCTCTTGCTTAAAAAAATACTTTAATCTTATTGTATTCAAATTATAGATGTTATCTCTTTCTGAAAGCTTCTGTAATGTAATTTATGACAGTTTTTCATATTGCTGTCTGGGATATTAATCTGATTCAATTTCCAGCTTGTTAATATGTATGATTCCAAGCACCATTTAATACAGGTCTCTGCTCACAAATGTCCGACAGTTTCCTGCAACGTTGTGGCTTGTCGTGAATAATTGACACATCAAAGCCATACAAGTATGTTTCTGCTTTTGTAAACAGTTCCTGATATCACCCATGATATTTAATCTCGTAAACACTATACTAGCGTTTATTCTCGTAAACACTAGTGTTTATGAGAATAAATGCTAGTATAGTGTTTACGAGAATAAAATCAGTCTTTACAATCACACCGTTCATTTACATTTATACCTGGTGGGTCTGGATTTCTGGCAGTTGAGGATTATGTTGTGACTTGAGCTCAAACATGTGTTGGCAAATTATAGTCAGTGTGTGTGCTAGTACCTGTCCATAATTCTGATGTCTCCTTTTCATTAAAGAGGAATCTTGGGTTTGACTAGTGGATGGGTGGCACATCAGTTAAATAAATAAACATTAAATCAACAATGAATGAATAAAAGTAAAGCGGTTTTTTCACCATTTAATAATAATTATCCCTGCAACGGAAATGCATTTGATTACATTGGAAAGTTTGCAAACCACAGGTATGACTTAAGTCAGCACTGCATCAGCAGCTTAGTTGGCAGGTCTCAGTCAGTCACACATATTGCATATTGGAGGGAGATCTTCCTTATGACTGAGCAGCATATCCCACAGGCTGGCAGGTCAGACTGACAGACTGATAGAAACATTGCTTCCAATCCAAGCCCAGAGGCTCCAACAGTACTCCATATCACCTCCCACTCCTGTCAGACCTCAGCTCTCCTTCTAGGCACAGTCGACAGTGTAGCTTAAATCCCATGGTCTCCCTGCACACTCAGTACATGATATTTTCTTTGCTGTGGTTGATTTAATTTGTTAATTATGTTGTAATTCAATCATATTCCCTTGGCATCCATTTCCCATGTTTTTTCTTAGAAAATTTCATAACATTTTGCTTCCAGGTTACCTCTTCTGATAAATGCCACAGGAGTTAATTTGCTGCTAAATACTTGTGTATCATGGAAAGCAATCTTGACAGCCAGCCTCTGAACGCTTAGGGCAAATGACAGGCATTTCAGATAAAGGTGTCAGTCAAACAAGCATGAGTGAAACTGTAAATAAGTGTGTATGCACATATATAGACAGAGATAGATTGATGGGGGTTGCAAGTGAGGCGGTGCGTGCACCTAAGCCTCTTTGTTAAAAGTTCTCTGACTCACTCTTTTTTCGATCTATGCAGGCATTTAGACACTGACAGACTAATGACATCCTGGTCATAAGACCTCACAGTTCGTTATCTGTGAGTGACGCACTAACCCAGGTCTGACAGTTTAACAAGGCATTCTGTCAACTCCAGACTTTGTGTGTGTGCACAAATGTTTCAGTTAATCTTTTCAAATATGATTAGATGAGTGAAAGAGCAAGGTAGATCGCCTGTATGATCCAGAATGGTGCTGCTACCCTCTTTTGTTTTCATGCTCGTACTTGATGTTGCATACCATCAGGACCTTGGGGTTCCAAAATTGAGGTGCAGTCACCTATCAAGAGCCCTTTGGCTCTTTGTGATCTTAGACTGGATGTTAGAACATTACTGCCCCTCAGTGGTGTAAATGATAGATCAAAGTCCCTGAATGAGAATTCTTGTTTTATAGTTTAAGTGGTGATAACTTCTGTTTGCTATATTTATAGCACAACAGTATAATAGATGTACCCCAACAGACAAATGAGAAGAATTCTGCTACTAGCACAAGAGCTCAGATTTCATGTACTGTATATCAAATTTAATTCTACAAATGCTTTTTGTCCTTTTTAAAATGAAATAGAATCTGGACTTTTATAGTTTCCAAGCCGTCTACCATTGGAAAAGGTTTATTTTTTGAAACCTAAAGCAGATCATTTTTAAACCACCTTGTTAAGTCTCCTCGAGGGCAGGAGGGGATAACACAACAACTCCGGAAACTCTGTACAGGTGTTATGAAAAAGGTTTAATGGCAGCGCTCTCACACATTAAATGACCCAGATTCAAACAACAAATGTGGGGGAGAAAGGGACAGTTAGGTTGTGCCAAAAAGACAAAACCAAAACTTAGCTAGTCCACTTTACTCCCACCACAATCATCAAACAAAAGAAGGACAGCAGCGAAACATCACATGTACCAAACAATTCAAAGGAGGGAAGAGAGCCGCACCCAGCCACAGGTGAGTCTCCTTATCAAGGTGTGCACTCCTGGATTGTCCAATCAGGGCCTCCCTCCTCTAATTAGTTGGACGTCCCCAGATTGACATCAGCCTGCAGTCTGCGACCTAAGGGAACGGCAAACAAAAGGAGAGGGAAAGAAAACATGCAGCCTGCAGGCACGTAACACACCTAAAATCATCATTTAAAAAAATTATTGTTTTGTGTCACTAAAACAAGATGCCTGTGTGTCCACGATGTGCAACACTGCATACATGCCTAGAAACTTGTCAGTCCAATGGTAAGCACACTCTGTCATAACTAATGTGCAGACTGGACCCAAACACAGGACTCTGAGAGATCAGTTTCAGCGACTTAATTTACAACATTGAGAGGTGATTCCAACAGTAAAGGTCCAGGCTCCACTTGGCTTCAGGTCCAAGTCAGAAATCTCCTCCACAGATACTTTACCAGAATTTTCTCTCTCACAAGGGCAAAACCAGGTGTTCTATGCAGAGGAGAAAACTGGTAAGTTGCAGGCAAGGTGCAAAACCAGATCACACTTACCACATGAGGAGCCAGTATTACTAACATAGCTTAAAACTCAGTCAACAACAGAAGGCGTTGACTATCAAATCAAAATAGTGGTGAGACAATCACCTGATGACAAACAGGATTGCTTATTAGCCTCAGGTGTGTAGAAACAAACAGCAGGAAACCAAAAGCTATTTCGCCCCTGCAAGAAAAGGGTGTGGTTAGATACACAAACTCAAACACACTCACACACACTCACACAAACATACTGAGAGAGAGAAAGCAAAAAGAGGACAGATGAGAGAAGCGCAAAGAACCACTGAGGAGTGGAGGGCCATCAGACAAGCTACTTTAAAAAAAATTTATTAAGTTTTTCTTTTTTTGTTTTGATCAAATGAATATCATATTGCAAAGAACTCTTGAAACTAGTGTTTAAAATGATAAACTCCCTCGAAGAATGTTTATAGAAGTCAGAGATCATTCTTCCCACATCTTTCTGTTGGCCATAAAAGAATGCAGGTTTACAGCACTTCCACATTGGCTACACCTTTCAGACTCTGTCTATGTTTCAGAATACCATCTTTAGCCATTTCACATCTGCACTCTTCCTGTAACTTTATTACAGCATAATTCAAGCATTAATGCTGGGGAAGGATGTCTGTCTGCATGTGTTTTCTCTTATGTCTGGGTACATTTGGTGAGCTGGCAGTCTGGTTTGTTGGGGGTGTAACACGAGATGATGTTCACAAGCAGTCTGTTTGTGAATGCCAAGGTATTTCCTGCCCGTGCAGAGCTCTGTCTTTGGCCTGCTTATCCATTCCTGAGGAAACTGCTCCAAATTCCTGCAGTGGACAGCTGTCATTTATTTGTTGCAGATATAAATTTTGTTCAGTCTTTTAAATGTTCCAGCAACGTTCTTTTTCATATAATTAATTGGTGGTGTATCTAATCTACTGTATTTTTTTTATTTTTTTATTTTTTTTTTTTGCCGGGGGGGGTGTAGCTATATCATTTCCACAACAGAGGGCGCTGTTGCTCACTTATAGTTAATAGAATGAGGTTAATGCAACTTGTGCTTAATTCCTATACAGTCAATACTTTTCTTTAATATGAATAAGGTTTGCTTTATTGGTGCCTTTGATCAGATCTCAGTTAGAATATGCATTACACAAATTAGGTTTAAAAATTCTAATTTGTCATTTTCAGTAAATCTGCATTGGACTATCCTCTGGCCTCCTCTGGCAGCACTTGGGAGGACATTCTAAATTTAACTACAATATAACCGCTTTAAAGTTTGGAAACAACTCCATGGAGACAGTATCGTTTCCTCCAGTCTATGCTATAATTAGCTGGGCTTGTTGTCCTTGATTGTAGACAAAATATGTTTTGTTGTCATGCATCCCATTCATTCATCACCCACTCAGCTTTTAAACCCCACCTCAGTAACTGCAGCAACAAGGCTTAAAAACATTAGCTATTTAAAAATACATATAACAACCCAGGAAGATGATAACATTCAGAGTAAAGTGTGGAATACAACCGTTGCCATTAGCCTGCAAACCTGCTTTAATAATATGCACTTTAAATGTGTTTGTGGCCACAGTGACCTTGGTTGTTATTATGGGCACTGAGACCTGAATACACCAAAGAAAAAGCAGAAGGGCATTGTTCCGATAGCACACCCACACACATGAACAATAAATGACCAAGGCTGGGAAAACATTGTTTGCTTTGACGCAGAAAGGAAATGACATGTATGACACAAAGAAACAGACAAACACACTCACGAATTATCATAGTGGGATGAACAATAAGTGATAAGTGATTTAAAGGAAACAAATAACAACACACGAGAAGAGCTTTCATCTATGATTATTTTTATTTTATGAAACTACTTACATTTAATGCCATTTTACTAATGTTTTTTCAATAAAATAATGCAAGTAATGTGAATAAAGAAACTGTACAAATAATACTCTAAAAATATCGATATCAGAGAACTGCCTCCTTATCAGCCATTCAATGTGCCACCAATAAAAAAGGATAAAAGAGTGAAAGAAAATATTTGCTGGTTCAATTATCTAAAAATTCCAGATGCCATTTCCTGTAGTAAAGGAAGTGGGTGGATTGTGCCTCAGGAAGTAGGCATTCCTTCACATTTGGGCACCTTAGACATTTTGGGTTTTTTTTATTCGCTGAGTAAACACGATAGCATTTCTCCGGCTGTCCAAAGAGAGCTGCACTTACAAACTTATCATACAACCTTCATTTTTCTCTGCTGAATAATTACATTATTGCTTGTGAAAATATCTCAGCTCCACAGTTAACACGTGAAGTTCTATTACTTGTATCGTTCCTTGTGTGAAATACCCGCAGAGAGTAAATGAATACTGTACAGTGAAACGACTGCGGGGAAAAAATGGGGTCAGACTGGTGGCGTGCTGTAGCGGATCTCCATGTTGAATTTGTCCGGCGTCTTGGGAAGAGGAGGCTTCTTCAGCATTTTGTGCTTCATGATGATTTCCTCGTTGGCATATATTGGGGTGTCTGCGTCGTCAGAGTGGTACCCTGACTGATATCCACTCGTCTGATTGGATGACTCCGAACCCAGAGACTCTTTACTCTTGCACCGCAACAGTTGGCTAAAGAGTCAAAGCAAGACGAGGACACATTTAAAACAGATTCACAGGGTAAAAAAACAATATGAAATAAACCACTCAAAGAAAGCATGCAAAGGCTTAGTCCCCACCTTAAGTTGGGTGTGGTTGGTAGATGTTGATTCAGACCCTTCATCTCCTCTGGTGAGAAGTCCATGCCACTGTCTGTGTGACCCTCCTGCCAAGAGGACAGCACTTAAATGAACTTAAGTGGTTGCTGCATGGCGGGAAGGTATTAACTTTCAATCACATTTGTTAGTGCCCACTTTGTGGCTCAGGGGGTTAGGAAGCACATCTCTAACTGGAAGGTCGCTGGTTTGATCCCCGGCCTCTCTGCCCTGGTCGTTGTGTCCTTGGGCAACACACTTTACCCTACCGCCTACTGGTGTTGGCCAGAGGGGCCAATGGTGCAATATGACAGCCTCACTTCTGTCAGTCTGCCCCAGGGCAGCTGTGGCTACAACCGTAGCTTGCCTCCACCAGTGTGTGTGAATAAATAGTGGCATTGTAAAGTGCTTTGGGTGCCTTGAAAAGCGCTATATAAATCCATTATTATTATTTTTTAATGAAATGGGAATTGAATGATTATTTAATTATCAATTAGCTGTATTTGTAAAAATATTAAGCAATTAAGAAAATTCGTTAATAGATATTTGAGGGTTTTTTTCTCTATTACACAAAAAGTTTTACCTAATACAAATTAGATTTTTTTTTTTGTTCGTCTGAAAGTTATTGTCCTAGTTCAAAAATTTTTTTGCATTCTTGTATTCTCCAAAATGTCAGTCAGGGGTTTTGCTAAAATGTCACATCCATTAAGTGTCCTCTCTGGCTAACAAATAATCTTCATTTCTCATATCAGTGATCCTGTTGTTTTAACTAAACTCTAAGAAAACCTTTAAACACAAGACAACACAAAAGTGTAAAGTCCAGTAAAACTGGAAATGCTTCGGAGCGTTTTCAACAATTCAACATTTCAAAGGAGAGCTACAACTCAGGACACATAAAATCTTGTTCCTTCTAAAGGTGCTGATTGCTCTTTGTAGACTTTTTGAAGACTTTTTGTACTAAGTAGATTAACTGTGCTCTTGTTTTATGAATGAGGTGGTTGTTAAATGTGTAGTTTTACACTAACCATGACACTGCTGTGCGCCACAGGGACGTCTTCAAATGTCTTCACACTGAGGGGACGACTGCACCTCTCATTCTGTTGGGACAACCTGTACAAAGAGGATGTGTCAAGAAAACCACAACTGAGTGCTCTAGCATTAACAAAATGAGAGAAGCAGTGGACAGAAGGAGGTAAGAGCATGACGCTGACCCAAGGGATGATGGGTTGTCATAGTTAAGCCGGGCTTCAGGAATTTCGCCACTTTGAGGCCTGCTATGTGGTCTCCTGGGGTCAGGGGCTGCTTGGCATTCTTCTGCTTCACCTACTGTCAAAGGTATATAGTCCTTCCCATCCTGGAGATACAGAGTACGTTACAGGCTCAAATACACACTGAATTAAATAATTATACATAAACAATTAGAGATATAACCTTTAAAAATCGAATACATAAGCCACATTATAAATCCATTTCAAATATATGTGATATTTTCATATTTGCTGTCATTTGCTTTTTGATTTTGTTTCACCTAAAAAACTTGCCAAAGCTCGCATAAAAGGCATTCAGGGTATGCTGCACAGATGTAACAATAGCACAGAGAAAGAGATGAAACTAAGGAAGCTTCTTTGTAGCTGACAATATTTAAGTGTTGCTGAGGCACAAATGAATTTTAAATATCCTATTACTTATGAACACTGCTGCCTTTTTGTTTAGGCCTGAACTGACCTGCTGGGCACTAGCCTGTAGCAGGTTTCCCAGGTGTTCAACCAGTTCGGTAAATGTTGGCCTGTCTGTGGGACGATTCAGCCAGCAGTCCAACATGGTCTGGTATCTGTGAATATGGATAATGAGGATCGCAATAAGAGCAAATGATTCAAGTTACATTTCTGTAAATCGTTCAACCGTCACTGTCTACTTACATCTCAGTGGTGGCATATTCGGGTGGTCTCATCCTGGTACCTTCCTTAAGCCTCCTGCAGAATGATTCATCAATGCAAACACCCGGATAAGGAGAAGCCCCTGAAGAAGACATTACAGAAGTTTCATTGCAGATATAAAGTGGTCATTAAGCAGTGTTATGTGATTACTTCTAAACTTAACCCTTACCCAAGGAAAAGATCTCCCAGAGAAGGACGCCAAAGGACCAAACATCACTTTGCGTGGTGTATACGCGGTCAAATATGGTCTCAGGAGCCATCCACTTTAGAGGGAGACGTGCCTGTGGTAACAATAAAACAGCAAATTATTCCTTCTTATGCTTTATTTGTGTAAATGAGTATGTAGTAAAGTGAATAACGTTTACTATCCTAATACAGTGGTATCTGGTAATGTGCATGGATATAGTGGATAGCAGGTGAACATGATACAAAGATATCAGACAGGTCAGAATGCCCATGCTGACCCAGGTCTGCCTACAATGGGCACAAGAGCATCAGAAGCTGACTATGGAAGAATGGCAGATAGCTTTGGTGACTTTCACTGTCTTTTCAATCATATGAACACCTGGGTGCACAAGGATCATTTAACTAGGGAGGAGAAAGCAACAGGATGAGCTTTTTGAAGAAGGCAAGACAGGATCCTATTTGGCACTAACATTGACTAAAATGAACTTCAGGTAATGTGTTGGTGAATGGTGTGGCAGGATAACTTGAGTCTCAGCTTCAATGGGTCAGAACTTATTTACAGCATGAGGGCAGCCCAAGCACTATTAGATTAGTGCTTCTAATGAAGGGACACACTGGTGGAGTATCGGTTAAGAGGACTCACGTCTCCTTTGCGGACATAGTCCGGGTCTTTGTAGACATCTCTAGCGAGACCAAAGTCACAAATCTTCACCACATTGTTTTCTGAAAGAAGGATGTTTCTGGCCGCCAGATCTCTGTGAATGCACTATCGACCAAACAGAGACATTTATATTCAAAGCATGGAAGAATTAAGTAATATCTCCAATTTCAATGCAGATTTGTGCACCAAAAAATTCAGACACTTGTGATTTCACCTTGCGGGAAGACAGAAACTCCATTCCTTTGGCCACCTGGAAACTGTAGCTTATCAGGTCTTCCATGGTTAGATGGTCATCATCTGAACTCTCTGTAATAACGAGATTTCACAGGAATAAATACGAAGCCTGAGTGGCACCACAGTAATGTTATTCTAAGTTGTCTTCAGAACCTTTCTGAATGTCCATGTTGCTGCCTGAAGCCCTGTCTGAAGTGGTAGAACAGACCGCTGTTCCTGTGCAGATGTCCAGCTGGGCAATCTTCCCCAGACCCAGATCCCCTTCAGTCACATCCTCCTCTGCAGACACCCACCTCTGACTATTTACTCGCTTCCTCTGTTCAGCACAGAACAGTTAAACTAATGAAAAAATCCCAACATTTCATGCAGGAATTGTTTGTATTGCCTGCAATATGGTTCATGTTAGATACAATCTGTGGACAGTACAGAACTGCACTACTACTTAATGATCAGTCAGTCTATTTGATTGTGTGCAACCATCTGGATTGTAAACCACATCAGTGGACTGACTGTGGTTTACTGGGTGCATGTGGGTTACACATAATTTACCTTGTAGGGGCTGTACTCTCCGCGCTTGCTCTTAAGGTAGCTGGATAGATTTCCATGTTTACAGTATTCAACAATAACCATCAGCGGTCCTGCAAGCAGAAGGAAGAGAAAGAAGTTTAATTATCAGAAGAAGAATGAACATTAACACATTAAAGGACAACAGATGGCACACTGATGTTGATTTATAAAGATTATAAGATTCAAATTCATGTGAAGAAAAGTTGCATATACAGGACATGCTTAGTCAGCTAAAGTAAATAATGCACTTGGTTTGACTGACCCCCAGGTTTCGTGCAGGCTCCCAGCAGGTTGACCACATTAAGATAATGTCCAATGTGGATGAGAATTTTCAGCTCTGACATCAAGGCGCGGTACTCACTTGCTGTGGCTCCCTCTGCACATAGAGATAACATTAGTTCTGCGTGTTTGAAGGTTTTTATTGTGTTTGCTCGCTGTGTGTAATAAAAGGAGGACAAAATACAAACCCTTAAGCATCTTGACTGCAACTGTGGTGCATGTGGTCGCTTTCTCAATGCCGAATGCAGCTGCTTCTACCACCTGGCCAAATGCCCCTCGTCCCAGTGGGTCACCTTTAAAGTAAAATGTTTGTCATGACCAAAATCCCTAAA